AAACATGGTGCTCCAAAAGAGATCTTCAATTACTAGTTGGGTCTCTTATGTGGGTATGTTAAGTACTCCCTCATTTTTCTAGTATTGTTTATCAGCCAATGTTTGATACTGTCTGATGATTGCTTCATAAGTTCTGTGCTTTGGAGGTTCAACATTTAAGATTTTTGCTGTTTGCTAGTCTAAAGGCATGTTGTTAAAGACTCTTATTTCTTGGTATTGTTTACATATAGTATTGCTAGTTATTATGTTGTTTCTTTGCCTGTTCAGTACTTTGCTTGTGAGTTGGCATAGATTTATTATAGCAGTAATAGAATAAGAGAAATTGCATTAGTGTATTCTGGTAGAACATTGAGTTGAAGATACCATGCTGCCAGATGTTTAAATAAGTATTTTTTGTAATAGCAAGTTGGCATCTCTGTTTTGTTTGCCTAATATATATTTTAATTTTATTAAAAAATTCTCTTGGATCTGAGTTTCATATATCTGAGCTATAATTCTATTGTTTTGAGGATTTTTGCAAAATTCTAAGTAGTAAGCTTTAGCATTAGCTAAATTATCTGTTCATATTATTAACTTCTTTCTGGTCTATAATGATAAGAAGATGCAAATTGCTATGAAGGTTGTTAACAGTTTACATTCTTGAATAACATGATTGGCTATAATGATTTGATTGGCCCATTTAAATACTGTAAAGTAGTTTTTAAATATTGTCTCACCACCTATTTTTGATGTATCTTTATATAGGTTCTGTATATTTGGTTATTGCCAGCTTTGGTCTTCTATTAAATAAGCGCTGTGCCATTTTTCTATAATATTGATCTATCATTGTATGTCTGTGTTCATAGGTCTGGTTATTCTTATATGATGTTTCTGGTTTTTGACAGATTCCTGTGCTTTTATGAACCTATGTACAAATAGTTTTCTTTGAGGGAGTACTTAACATACCCACATAAGAGACCCAACTAGTAATTGAAGATCTCTTTTGGAGCACCATGTTTTGGTGACTCAGTCTTTAAGTAGTTCTTGTATCTTTTTTCTTTTTTGAGGCAGAACTGATACTGACATAGTTTTTGTTTTTATCATGATTCTAAGGAATGTGATACTGGAACCTTCTAACTTTGATTCCTTGAAGGGTATGCTGATTATGTTTAATATCTGCAAAAATTGTTGAAGTTCTCCCTTGCCATTTATTTTGATATTATCAAAAAATTATCAACATAATGAATTATTGATCTAATGTCTTGTTGGGTAGCTATTCACGTGATAACATCTGCAAATCTGCAGAAAATGCTTCTAGATGCCCTATTCCCAAAGGCTAAAGCTTTGTTGAAGCAAATACTTTCACCTAACTTCATCTCCTATAAAACTTGATCCACCGGATGTACAAGTAATATCTGATATGCATCTTTAATATCTACTTTTGCTAACATGCACCCTTTTTCATATAGGTTAATCCACCTTATTGCATGACTCATATTTTCATACTTTGTAGCAAATTCACTAGGATCGATACTCTTATTAATACTTTCACCGAATGGTGCTGATAAATGGGATATTACTCGAAACACTTTGGAATTTGTTCCATTTTTTCAACTAAACCACAGGGGTTTACTTGAAATAGATCACATGGTAGTTGCTTTTCTAAGAATAAACTGCATATATGGCCTTTCTCTATCTCTCTTGGATATATTTCGCAAGAGCTGTTGGTTCTAGTTTGACTGATTTTAAGTTTTCTTGGATCCTTTTTACCCTTGCATCTGAAAAATTAAATCTGAATCCTTTGGTAATTCCTTGTATCAGGTATTCTATAAAGGGGTAATTGGGGTAGTGGTTTGTAAGTGTTATAAATGCTTAAACATCTATAGTTGTTCTTACATTGAACTTTTCAGGGCTGATCTGTGAAAGAATTTTAACTTTTTCTGCCGTGAATGGAATGCTCTGTAGAGGAATACTCTGCAGTATTTCATTTACCGATTGGAGAACTGGTTGGTCACATGTTGTTATATTGCATGATAGTTTATATTGAGCCATGTGATGAAACTCTATTCTGCGCCTATTGTCTAAATGTCATTGTCTTGGTTGGTTTGACTTTTTTTTTCAATATGTAACTTTATTTTATGATGCAGGATAATATCAAGATATATATATTGTTATATTAGCTGCCTATGCTTTCACCCTTACATTGTTACTACTTTTTTTTTCATTATTATTATTGTTGTTATTTTTTTTTTGATTATATAGTTAATCATGCTTCTGAATGATCACTCTGCTTGGATCTCACATTAGTACTACGATTGTTTGTAAAGCATCTTCGCTCCTGATGACCTATCTTTTTACAGAACAGACATGCATGTACTCTTCCACATTTCTTATCATTATTACAATTTCTTCTGTTCCAGTTTATACAAATTTTTCTTCCGTCATGCCACATTGTGTCACTTCTTGAGGGTCGCAGTTTTTTAAACTTTTTTCTTTTAGTAGTTGTTGCATCAAAGTTTTCCTCTTCAGCTTCTATATTTCTATCAAACAGTGTAGTATCCTGATCCATTGCTACTACAAGCCACTGATCTTTGTCATATGCCATTATGTAGCAAACTTATACCGAACACAGAGATTATTAATATGATCTCAGTAAAAATTTAGCTCTTGTTCCTGTTCCTCATAGATTATGAGAACAGTTTTGATGTATGCTCTAAATCCTAGTAGCTATTTGGATATATCATTGAATCTGTTATATGTTGGTCATTTGCGAATAGCTATATATCCACCTTCTGAGGCCTGCAATGGTAGATCATCATGATGATATTTTGCACTTTCTTTTATGTTTTTGTATGCAAATTCAGTGAGTTCAATATAGCTTCCAAATGCTATTGATTTCCATAGTCTTAAGTACAGGTTGGGTTTGCAAGGTAATATTTCAATTATCTTTTGTCCTTCAGACCAGTTTGAAATCTACTATAACCTTTTACTTTCGATACTAGCTGCTAGGGGTTTGCAAACCCTTGAACTGTTGGCAGCTGCTTTAGTGTTGAGTAATTAATTGATAGATATTTCCGTGCTTTGTTTTTTGCTATTATTGGTTCACCGTTTGTACATATTGTTGCGTCTGACAGGCCTGCATTGACTATCATATTGTTAAGTAAAGAGGTAGGTGGGTAATTACCTTGTGGGATATTCTCCCTTACTTCTGGTGGTGAACATATTGTTGTTATTGTTTGGTTGTTACTCTCTTCTTCGTTCGCATGGTTATTGTTTGGATCCATGACATAACTCATCATGCCAACCTGCTCCAGTTTGTTAAAACGTTCATTCATGGTATTTTGCATTTGTTCATTCCATTGTCTTTGGGTTTCGGCTTGTTGTCCTATCAGTTCCTTCACTTTCTCTATCAGCATTGACATGGTTGCCTGACATGCATTGTCGATGTATTCTTTTATTTTTGGGTCCATGTTTGATAACGGATTTTTGGGTTATTAGACATTCTTTCTTTTGGGGGGTTTTTTTTTTTTTTTTTCAAGAAGTCTAATCGATCGGGTTTGAAACCCGTGTTCGGTGCTGTGATCTTTTATTAAGTGTTTCCCACTATTGTGGAGACCTGCATTGTTCATATGTCATTATCATATGAAACAACACACTTGCATGTGCTTCTCTCTTTCAATCAGCTTCTCGTTTTGGAATTGGCGTCTCGTAAGTATTCCGGCGGATTGTGGCGTGAGTGTGTCAATTCACTTTTCGATCATGTGATCCGTTATCACTTCGCAAAAAGCTCATTATGGTTAGTGTTAAAATGTGAAAGTCATCATTTTAATAGCTAGTTTTAGGATGATCATTCTAATAGCTCCGATCATACAAAATGTCGTGTGGAAATATGACCAATCAGAAGAACGTATTTGCGCTCACCATTTCACTCCTTAGATAACCTTGCACTCCGTTCCTAATATTATGTCTTTGATCACACATTTTGATTGCATTCTCTTATTATATCATTTAAACTCATGCACACATCGAATACTTCGATTTTATATAGAAATCTCAAGGTGAAATTATAAGAATGGATTGCCTAATCAGATGCGTTTAAATATAATCATATTCTTCGTTGCACTTCGTTCCTTATATTATTTGATAATCAACTTATTCCTAAATTTTAACGATGAATGTGAATTCTGCTTGTTTATTACATCAGGAAGTACATTTTTACATAGATTTATATAAAATTTTTACATAAAATTATGTAAAATTTTTATTTTTAAAACTTATAAAACTTTATAAACCCAATGTAGATTTACATGGTTATTTTATATAAATCTATATAGATTTCTATATAGATTTATGTAAAATTGCAAAAATTTTTAACTTGAATATTAGAGTTAGGATTGGGTTTTTAAATTTAAATTAGGGGTTTGGGGAAGGTTTTCGGGCATGCTGAATATTTTTACTTAATATCGAACACTGATTACCTTAGTCACTTTTGAGAAATAGCTGAAGTAAATTAAATTATTTTATGTAGATATAAATAAAGTTTACATAAATTTTATATTTATATAAATAATAATTAAATC